TAAGATTCCACATATAAGTGAGGTCATATGGAATTTGTTTTTCTCTGAATTATCTCACTTAGACCAGATCTGTGTTGAATCACCCTGCTCCCCACTGGCCAGGAAGAGCACCCGTCTAACGGTCATGGAGCACCTCCCGTGGGAGCTGTCGAAATCCGCTGCTCTTTGAGAGTCAGCCATCCTTGGAGCTAATGGTGGAGGTGGGCGGGGGATTTGGCTGTGGCGGCCACAGAAATGCACCCCTCAGACCCCTCACCTTCACTACAGGTAGCACAGATGACAGACAGCCCCAGTCACTCCTCTCCGGGTTCACACCGTCCTTGTGCTAAGGCCCCTTTCCTGACGAGCTGCTCCCAGCCAAGGATGACAGCATGACAGGAGCACTCATTCAGACCCTTTCCTGGGATACAGCTCTCCTCTGTTCCACAACTTTCTTTCCAGGACTCTGAGCAAGGACTGAGGCTAGCTCAGCCCTCCTTCCTGCCCTCTCACCTTCAGGGGGTGAGGTGTGCTTGCCCTCTGGAGGTTCTCCTGCCTTCTCTGGCTTCTTCCTTCTTTATCTTCACAGCTCTGCCCCCACTGCATCTCTCCCACATCTCACCCATCTTAGTATCTCCTTCTCATGGGACCTGAACCAACACAAGTGTTGCTGGGAGAGGCCCAAGGAAACGAGAGGCAGTTAAGGACTGGATGACTCACTCACTCTCTGGAGAGCAACAAGGCTACCCTTCCGAGTGGCCTGTGAGACACAGAGTGCCTGGTACGTGGTGGCAGCCCCGCTGCTAAAGATCCCACCAGTGGTGACCTGAGGAGAAGGTCCTGGTGGAGGGACCCATCCTTCAGATGGAAAGAAGGGAGGACAATGTCTACAGGGGGAGCAGGGTCAGCTGGCAGCCCCCATACCATATTGATGCCTTGCAGAGAGACGGTAAGGCTCTTATGAGCAGATAGAGGCTGGGGGTGAGAGCCAGAGGGCCTCCTTACAAAGAGGCTTTTGTCTCCTTGTAGAGGAAGAACTGACACAGGCAAACAGGGAATGGAGGACCCAACAGTCACAAAGTCACAGCTCCAAAGACGTTTAAATACTTGGTCAAGGCAGGTCTGTCATGTTGCCAAGATCGTTGCCCTGGCTGGAGAACCTGGCTCACAAGCATGGGGTGAGGATAACTGGGGGTGGGGGGGATGCTTCTGAGGATGTTGGCTCTGCAGACTCCCTCAAACCCTCTGGGCTTGCAGAGGTGACCAGCCCTTCCCTAGTGGGAAGTGACACTTCCCTGGGCTGAAGACACTGCAGAGGCTTCTGTCCTACAGAGCCACCCTCAAACCTTCTCCTGCCTACAGATGGATAACTAGGGTCCAATCCCAGTGTAATTTGGTTGTATATAGACAGCACTTCACTAGGGAGGAAAATGATTATATGCTAAAGGAGTTGCAAGAATTAGTACACTGCCAGGAGCTAGGGAGTATCCCCAGCATTGGATTTTGAGGAGCTTGATTAAAGGAGCTAGAATTTAAGATTGGATAAGCAGAATTTATTGATTGGGGGCACTTTGTTGGACACAGGATTTAATACCCTAGCAAGGCTTCCAGAGGAGGGGGCAAAGTCCTGCTGAATGGCTGATAGAAGCCTGGAAGTGTGATGGCCAACACAGAGTGAAATGAAAATGCTTGAGTTGCCCCAGATGGTAAAGGAAGGAATGAAGAGACAGAGGAGAGTGGTCATGCTGGAAAGCATATCTTATATAAGGGTGGAAGACTTGCCAGAGAAAATGTTCCAGGGAGGGCTCTGGGGTTCCCCAAGGCCATTGGGAATGCACTGGTGACGGACCCAGCATTGCTAGGAAGTTCAGTGGTGGCTTTCCTCTGCAGCCCAGGGTTGATGGTAAAAGGGGTGGCCACAGAGCTGGGCTCATTAATATTGGTTTCCCACCCCCATGAAGTAATAGATGCCAGTGGCAGCGCTTGCCACCAGAAGCTGGGAGGTTGCAAAGACTATTATGACCAGCAAGGAGGAAGGGGTGGTCACGGGGACCTGGCCAGCAAAGAATCATATGGTTGCTGCTTTACATCTATAATAGAAAGTCAAGAATGGAAGAGAGAAAGCTAAGAGAAGTTGCCTAAATAAAGTCATGGCCCCTTCTTCACTCCTGGAACAGAGTCTATTTTCAAATTTTCAACCCATTAACTGAAGAGGTGCCATGTCCCTGGGAAGAAGGATCCTCTAAAACCATGACAAATATATATAGTAATATTCCCCTAGTCCTTCCATAAAGGGACCTGTAGCCATTTACTCAGGTAACTAGATACTGGGAAAGGACAAAACCTAGACATTTGGAGGACTATGGACACAGGGTCTGAGTTGACTTTAATAGCATGATCTTAAGTGTCATTATGATGCTCTGTTAGAGATGCGACTCATTGAGGTCAGATGATCAATGAAGTCCTGGCTAAAGTCTGGTCCATGGACCTATCCAGTGATCATTTCCCCAGTCCCTGAGTATATAATTGGAGTTGATATACTTGGCAGTTGAAGTCACCACCACATTGGGTCCTAGGCCTATGGGACTTTCCCCTCTCATCCTTGCCACCTCCACTCCCTGCCAAGAAAGTAAATAAAACACAATATTGCATCCTAGGGGAAAGTGTGGAGATTAGTAAACCCACTGAAGACTTGGAGTGCAGAGATGATGGTCCCCATCATAGCTGCATTTAACTTAGCAGTCTGGTTCCTGCAGAAACTGGTTGCACCCTGGAGACTGACCAGAAACTGGTTGCACCCTGGAGACTGATTTCAACTGTTGGGTTGCATATGTTACTCTGCCAGAGTAATACAGGTTAGTAAGGCCTCACGTACACGGTGTGCAGTCATTGAGCTGGCAAATGCATTCTTTTCCAATTAGGAAAGAGGATCAGAAACAATTTGTATTCATGTTGGATGGAAAATATTCATTTACAATTTTGCCTAAGGGCTGTGTTAGCTCTCCTGCCTTCTGTCAGGATGCAGTCTAAGGAATCCGAGCTGTCTGCAATGTCCACGGAGCAGCACGCTGATCCATTACATTGATGATCTCACGCTGATCAGAGGGGAAGAGCAGCAGGTGACCAGTAAGCAGAAGGCTTGGTAAGAGGTTCACCGGAGGTAGAAGATAAACCCTGTGAAGTTTCAGGGGCTTACTTCAGTGAAGTTTTTAGTCATGGGCAGATGTCTCTCTCAAAATAGAGGACACACTGCTGTTATGTTACATCATCTATCACAAAGAAAGCACAGTGCCTGATGGGCTTCTTTGGGTTTTATTTTGTTGTTTTAAAAGATTTTTAAAATGTATTTTATTAGAGAGAGAGGGAGAGCACAGAGGGAGAGGGAGAAGGAGAAGCGTCCTCCCCACTGAGCAGAGAGCTAGACGTGGGACTTGATCCCAGAACCCTGAGATTGCGACCCGAGCTGAAGGCAGATGCTTCATCGACTGAGCCACACAAGTGCCCCTTCCTTGGGGTTTGGAGGCCACACATCCCATACAAATACTCCGCCAGCCCATATACCAGGTGGTATGAAAGACTGCCAGCTCGGGTGGGGTAGGGATGGGAAAGGGCTTTGTAGCAGGCCTAGGAGGCAGTGTAAGCAACCTGCTGCCTGGACCATAAGGTGTTGTTGAAGGTGTCAGCGGTGGAACAAGAAGCAAGATAGGACTTATGGCAAGTCCCAGTGGGAGAATCACAGCACAGACCCCCAGACTTGGGAGCAAGGCGGTGCTAGCCACAGCAGAGAATTATACTTCTTTTGAGAAATAGCATCGGGTGTTACTGGGCCTTGATTGTGGGGCACCAACTGACCATGCATCTAGAACTGTCTAATACAAGCTGGGTTCCGTCAGACTCATCAAATCATAAAACTGAATGGACCCACCTCAGTTCATTTTTAGGTGGAAGCAATCCACCCAGGATCGAGCCCAAGCAGGACCAGAGGGCACATGTAGGCTACATGAGCAGGTAGCCAGGCCCCACGACACCAGTGGGACCCAGCTCACACTTACGGCCTTAAATGGGGGTGGGTGGGTCCTGTATGACCAGCAAAGGAGGAAGAAAAAGCCCAAGCTTGGTTTATGAATGGGGTCAGTTTGGGGGTGTCCTAGTGGTTTAGCGCTGCCTTCAGCCCAGGGTGTGATCCTGGAGGCCCGGGATCGAGTCCCACGTCAGGCTCCCTGCATGGAGCCTGCTTCTCCCTCTGCCTGTGTCTCTGCCTCTCTCTCTCTGTGTCTGTCATGAATAAATAAATAAATGAAATCTTAAAAAAAAAAAAAAAAGAACGGGGTCACTGTGGTACGTGGGTGTGAGCTGAAAATGCAGGATGGCTACATTATGGCGGCCCTCAGGGTGACCCCGAAAGACAACGGAGAGGGAAAATCTTCTGGTGTGGGGAGCTGTGAGCGGTGCACATGGCCATCCACTCTGAGCCGAAGGAGAAGTGCCCTAAGAGACTAATACTGATCCCTGGGCAGTAGCCAATGGTCTGACTGTCTGATGAGGTGCTTGGAGAGAAAAGGACCGGACAACGGCAGAAAAGGAGGTCTGGGGTGGGGGCATGTGGTGGCTATACGGGAGTGGGCGTGAAGTAAGGTTCTTGCATCACACATAATGTGCACTGGAAAGCGTCACTACAGAAGAGGCGATGACCAATGAAGCAGACAAAATGACTCAGCCAGTTGCCGTTGGTCAGATTTTGTTACTGAACCCCTGGAACTGGCAGGATGCGCACACGAGTGGAGGGGCTATGGTGGCAACGATGGAGGTCGGTACATGCCCAGCACAGAAATGTCAGTCGCCAAGGCCAACGCTCGAGGCTCCCGGCCCTGGAGGCCAAAGTCGAGCCCCGACCGACCGACGACCGACCGACGCGGTCTAGTCCTTTTCTTTAAGGACAACCACCGGCCTGCGGGGGGGGGGGGGGGGGGGGGTTAGTCAACGACCTTTGACCCGCCCCGTCTGGGAGCGGCCAGCGGGGTTCACAGACACCTGTTCCTGCGGGGCTGCTGTCCCCGAGAGCTTCAGCGGCGTCCTCGCTGGCGCGTCCCCTCGCGAGGGCCTCACCCGCGCACGCAGGACCCCACGCAGCAGACGAAACAAGGTCGTCTGGCTCCACAGCCGTGGTCCTTGGTCCCGAGATCGCTTGGTCGGCGGCGCACGGCCCACGGCGGGGGCGGCTCAGGTGAGGCACCTGCCCAGCGGCAGCGTTCCCCAGGCCCCGCCGGCCCTCGGAGCAGCTGAGCGCCCCGGCGACCCGGGCCCGCCTGCCTCCCTCCGCAGGTCCCGCGAGCTGCGAGCGGCTGCGGCGGCCTCCGACCCCTGTCCGGGCGAGCGGCGGGTGCGGGACGGGCCGCCCTCCTGCCCCGCGTGGTGGCGGGAGGCCGGGCCGCGCGGACGGCGAGCGCCGGGGCAGGCCCGCGGGGGGGCGCCCCAAGACCCGCTGGGCGGCCGAGGACCCGGTGGGCCGCGCGGTGTGGCCCCGCCCCCTCCGCGGACCGCGCGGCCGACCTGGGCCTCGGGCGGGGGCGCGGGGGGCGGCGGGGGCTCGGGGGGCGGCGGGGGCGCGGGGGGGCGGCGGGGGCGGCGGCGGGGGCGGCGGGGGCTCGGGGGGGCGGCGGGGGCGCGGGGGCGGCGGGGGCGTGGGGGCGGCGGGGGTGCGGGGGGGCGGTGGAGATCGGCGGGGGCTCGGGGGGGCGGCGGGGGCGGTGGGGATCGGCGGGGCGGGGGCGGCGGGGGCTCGGGGGATCGGCGGGGGCGGCGGGGGCTCGGGGGGGCGGCGGGGGCGTGGGGATCGGCGGGGGCGGCGGGGGCTCGGGGGGGGGCGGCGGGGGCTCGGGGGGGCGGCGGGGGCGCGGGGGGGTGGGGACGTGGGGGCGGCGGGGGCATATGGGGGCGGCGGGGGCGCGGGGGGTCGGCGGGGGCTCGGGGGGCGGCGGGGGCTCGGGGGGGCGGCGGGGGCGCGGGGGCGGCGGGGGTGCGGGGGGCGGTGGAGATCGGCGGGGGCTCGGGGGGGCGGCGGGGGCGTGGGGATCGGCGGGGGCGGCGGGGGCTCGGGGGGGCGGCGGGGGCGCGGGGGGGTGGGGACGTGGGGGCGGCGGGGGCATATGGGGGCGGCGGGGGCGCGGGGGGTCGGCGGGGGCTCGGGGGGCGGCGGGGGCGGCGGGGGCGCGGGGGGTCGGCGGGGGCGGCGGGGACGTGGGGGCGGCGGGGATCGGCGGGGGCGGCGGGGGCATATGGGGGCGGCGGGGGCCGGCGGGGGCGCGGGGGTCGGCGGGGGCGGCGGGGGCGCGGGGGGTCGGCGGGGGCGGCGGGGACGGCGTGGATCGGCGGGGGCTCGGGGGGGCGGCGGGGGCGCGGGGGTCGGCGGGGTCGCGGGGGTCGGCGGAGTCAGCGGGGATCGGCGGGGTCGCGGGGGTCGGCGGGGTCGCGGGGGGGCGCGGGGGTCGGCGGGGGCGCGGAGGTCGAGGCCCCCCGCCGCCCTCCCCGGGTCCTCAGGCCCAGCCCCGGGGGCGCGGGCTCCCCGACACCCGCTTCCCCCCAGGAGGCTGGGCCCCTCCGGGCGCTCGGGGGCAGGAAAGCTCGCGTCTTCGGCCGCTTCTCAGGGGCTGAGGGTCTTTGAACAAGGAGTGTCAGAACCAAGCAGCAGGCTGCGAACCCAAGTGGACTCTGCTTTATGCAAAGTCAGCACATCGCTCCCGGGGTTCTGGGGTCTCGGGAGGGCGAGGGAAGCGGGGCTGGAGGCGGGAGGCCGGAGCTCGGCACCTGGGAGCGGCGGCTAAGGTCGCCGTCCGTGGGTCCGTCCGTCCGTCCGTCCGTCCGGGGGCCCGGGCCCAGCTGCCGCTGTCCGCGAGGTCGGGGATGGGTCGGGCGCGGGTCGGGCGCGGGTGGAGGCCCCGACAAGGCCTGTCGTCGCGGGCTGGGCTGCGAGGTGACAGCCTCACGTGCATTTCCAGGCAGTGCCACCTGGGATGGAGCTGAGAGGGGCGGGTGTGGGGATGCTGGCGGCTCCCCTGGGGCCCAGGACCCCCCCCCCATCCCCCACCCGCGGCTTCCTCCGCTTGACATTCGAGGCCTGTGATCAACATCAGGTGCCTTGGAGCCCACCAGACCATGTTTGGGCTGTCTTTTGGAATTAATCGAAACTTTAATCCTCTGCTCTCTGCTCATAGTTTCTTTTGAACTGTGGAAAATATCGGCCCTGTAAGAGAATAGTTCTGAAGGGAAAACTGAAAACAGCTTAAATTTCTCTCTGTCAAGTTTTTTCCGGGTGAGCAATGTTTTTAACTTAAAAAAATGTTCCCTTGTAATTATGCCTGTGTGTGTATTCGTGCTTTTCTTTTGCTTGACTTCCATTCTGTTCATTCAGCAGTTAGGAACGGTGCCACATAGGGCTCCGCTGATGAAAGAGCCCTCGGGATGTGCTTAGAAAGCAGGAACGCGGAGCCCCAGGAAGGAAACCACACGTGCGGTTTCCCAGTGCGGCATTAGGCGGGGAAGAATCAACTTTTTGAGATACCCTCCATACCCCTGTCCTTGTTAAACACAATATGGACTAAAAGACAGCAAGGAAGCAACGACAACAAAAAACGACGTTGGATTTGGGAATCCATCCAACTTAAAATCAGATGCTGCTCTGCATACCACAAATGCAAGATCCAAAGAGTGCAGTATTTAGAGCAAAATGTACCAGCGTTTGGGAGCTGCAATGTCACTGCGGCTTACCTGATTATTTCCCTTTCCACCCTGCCTCACCAATATCGCCAATAAAACCCGTTCTGAAGTGATTAAAAGCTAATGTTCTGAGCATTTAGTAACATCCCGTGACTAACGAGGTTCTCCACTATATCACAAAAGCAGAAGGCAGAGAGCACTAAACTGTATGGTTTTCAATAAAGGTAATGTTTGCTCACAGAAGTTTATTCTGAGTTTGAGCATATGCTATTTAAGAGGGGATCTGAGAACAAAATATATAATGACAAGACCACTCTGAAAGCAATTGGGCAACATATAGAGAAGGGACATAATGAAGCAGATGGCATGACAGTCCAGAGCTATGGGAGAGCCCAAGAGTATCCCTGGGTCTCACTTACTGTTACATCACCCAAACCCAGTATGTTTAGCACATAGCATTTTTTGAATGGATAAAAAAGAAATAAAATTTCTAAATCAAGGTTTAACTGGAGAAAGTTGTTTGGGATTTGTCAGCATAAGATACTGCATAGTGAGTATAACCAGAGACATTAATTTTACATATAAGAGAATTACTAAAATTAAACATATATCTTAATGAAAACATATTTAAAGCTGGGAAAACTAAAGGTGGGTAGCTCCCTGCAGAATTCTATTTGTACTGCAGAGTTGAAGCTACCAGAAGGCCAGAGGCTGTGCCTCCGTTGTGTCCATTCCTGATGCTGGTGACTATGGAACATCAGATGGTGGCTGTATGGGTGTGTGAGCACCACCAGAACAAGGTGGCTCTTCCCTCCCCAATACTGAACAATCCTTTGGAAGAACCAGAAGAACCAAAGTACTAGGGTGGCACTGATTTTGGTATACGTGTGGCACAGTTCACTTGGCCTCTTCACAGTGTACAAGTATGTACCGATTTCACACTGAGCTCCCTTAGAACAAGATGACAACACAATGCTCCTAAACACAGGATGACTTCATGCAGTTATCTTAATTCAGTAGTTTTACAGTTTGAGAAGATCAGCCAGATATATTGGTCACCAGATATATATAGTGGTGATAGAGAAGAATTGGTATATATACTATTAGTAGAAAGTTGTAAATCAAATACAAGTCAGCAACAGTGTGAATAATAGAAATTCCCTGTTTGGATGATGTCTGGAGTCTTGAGCGTTGGATATGTCAAGGTTTTACTTTATGCTTAATAATTACTAAGGGAGCATCTATTGGTCACTTGTTTAGTATTTTTGCTTTTCTACTTACTTGCCTTTCTCATGGGTGTTTGTTCATCGGGATGGGGGAAAGGTATTGAAATATATATCAGATGTTTTCCCTCCCAAGGCTTCTTTTAAAACAAATTTACCATTTTAATTTATATATAATAAAAATACACTCATATAAATTGCACAATTTTATGTAACAAAAGCATCCATTTATTTTTAAGTTAAATTTTGTTAGTTAACATATAGTGCAATATTGGTTTCTGCAGTAGAATTAAGAGATTCATCAGTTACATACAGCACCCAGTGCTCATCATAACACCTGCCCTCCTTAATCCCCGTCCCCTATCTAGCCCACCCCCCCATCTCCCTCCAGCAACCCTCAATTTTCTTTCTATTGCTAAGAGTCACTTATGTCTCATTTCCCTCTCTCCTTTTTTTCCTTTTCCCTCTTCCTATATGTACATCTGTTATCTTTTTTTCCCATTAAAAAAAAAAAAGATTTATCCATTCAGTTCAGAGAGAAAGCACGAGAGAAGCAGAGGGAGAGGGAGAAGGGAGGCAGATTCCCTGCTGAATGCAGAGCCCCATGCACTGCTCAATCTGAGAAGCCAAGATCATGAGTGGAGCCAAACCCAGGAGTTGGATGCTTAACTGACTGAGCCACCCAGGAATCCCATCTATTTTCCTTCTTAAATTCCACATATGAATGAGATCATATAGTATTTTTTTCTCTTATTTTACTTAGCATCATGCACCCTAGTTCTATCTATGTCATTGCAAATGGAAAGATCTCATTCTTTTTGATGGCTGAGTAATATTCCATTGCATCCATATACCACATCTTCTTTATCCATTCATCAGTTGATGGACATTTGGGCTCTCTCCATAGTTTGGTTATTGTTGATAATAATGCTATAAACAGTGGAGTTCATGCACTGTTTCAAATCTGTATTTTTATATCCTTTGAGTAAATACCTAGTAGTGCAATTGCTGGATCATAGGGTAGTTCTATTTTTGACCTTTTGAAGAACCTCCAAACTGTTCTCCAGAGTGGCAAAATGCATACACTTCTAAAAACTTTATTTTTCTCTCTCTTTCTCCCTTTTCTTCTTTCTCTCTCTCTCTTCTCCTTTCCTTTTCCTTTTCCTTTTCCTTTTCCTTTTCCTTTTCCTTTTTCCTTTCCTCTTCCTTCCTTCCTTCCTTCCTTCCTTCCTTCCTTCCTTCCTTCCTTCCTTCCTTCCTTCCTTCCTTCCTTCCTTCCTCTCTTTCTTTTTCTCTAGAGAGAGCAAGAGTGCATGAGAGCAGGGGGAAGGGGCAGAGGGAGAGGGAGGAGAATCCTAAGCACGCTCCACACTCAGCACAGAGCCTGACTTGTGGCTTGATCTCATGAACCTGAGATTATGATCTGAGCTAAAATCAAGAGTCAGATAGATGCTTACCTGACTGAGCCACACAGGCACTCTCAAATGCATCCATTTTTAAATGAGTTTTGACGAATGCAAATACCCATGGAGGCTTGCCATAACCAAGATGTAGAACATACACATCACCCCAAGAAAGTTCCCTTGTGCCCCCTTTCAGTGAATCCCATTCCACTGCTTCTGCACACAGTATAGTTTTGCCCTTTCTATAATGTTATATAAATGAAGTCATGCAGATGTACTCCTGTGTCTGGCTCCTTTCACTCAGCATAGCATTGAGATTCAGGGATATCATTGCACAGTATTTATTGCTTTTGAATGCTGAGCATCCCCAACAGAGAGGCCGCAATCTGTTTATCCCTTCACCTATTCATCAATGTGGGTTGGTCTCTACTTTTTGGCTACTATGAATACAGCCATTGTCCATGTTTATGGACTTACATTCTCATTGCTCTTTTTACTTATCAAATCAAGTACACTCTTAATCTTGCTTCACAGCATGATTCAAATGACTTTTCTTCCCTGTACTCACCTTTCAGCCATGTGAGGTTACCTGCTGATCTCCGTGGAGCCCCTGTGGTTTCTGGGATCTGCCAGGGCTTTGGATCTCTGTGTTCAGCACTTGCCTTATGTTCTGTAAGTCCTATAAAGTCATCACAAACACTGAATTAGTAAGTACTAAACCACTGCACCTAGGGCAAATACATGGTGAGGTTCCCACAGCCTCTGGTCGCGATTTCATCAACCAGTTGATACGTGCCCTTGTTTTCTGTGTTCCTGTTTAATGTGTGTTATTGACTCATTAACACTGAACTCACAGGCCAGGACACCATGACTTATGCCTGAACAAAGTGCATTTTCTCGGTGAGACACATCACAGTCTGCTTGCGCTCAGGAGCACTACACAGCATGTCAGCGCTATGCTTGGGATCATTTTAAACAGCAAAATCACTGACAAGAAAGCACACAAGTGCACAAAGCGTGGCACTAACTGAACCGTAAAAACAGACACTTGTTTACAGTAGGAAGGCTGGAGCAAGAAGGCAGAGCACTGGCCCTTTGACCTCAGCTGGGAATGTGAGAGTCAGGAGACTTGGATTTTTCACCGGGCTGCACACGCCCATGAATGGCTATATAGTGAGCAGGCAAATTCACAGGCTACGGCATCTGAGATTGTGAGGATTGGCTGTGCACGCACACTTATTTCCCCTTTGAAGCTCTAAGGCGGTGACTTCCCTCCCTTGTCAAGTAACACTGCCTGGCTGATGGCAGGAATGTGCTGCTGGGAAGCATTTGAGGGAAGTAAAGTAGCTGAAAAATAAAGCCATGCTAGGTCACTGAGTTTATAAGGTGAACTTAAAATTTGTTGTGCATCTGCTGAGTGCCAGGTCCACGTTGGGAACAGGATGTGCACTGGCGAGCACAGGAAGAGGCCTTGGCCTCACAAGTTAGAATAGGATTAGGAAGACTGGCAAAGGAGGGAGAAGCACGAGTTGAAATGTAAACTGTCTACTAAAATAATAAAGATGATTCCGGAGATCGAGAGCTGATAACTCACTGTAGCCATCTTGGAATAAGTAGGAATAAACATCGATTTGGTTAAAAGTGGGACTGGAGTTAGACTGCCTGATTTGAATTTCTGGCCCTGAGTCTTACCAGCTGTGTGACCCTGGGCAAGTCACTCAATCTCTCTCTGCCTCAGTTCCTCAACTGTGAAATGGGGATACTATAACATCTACCTCGTTGGGCTCTTCTGGGGATTACATGAGTTCCTATTTGTAGAGCACTTAGAATAGTGCCTCACAGAGTGAGGCACAAAGCACATGTTGGTCATTATCTAAAAAGATGCATAGCATCCAATTTGCTGAAGAAGTAGATCTTGTCAGATCAATTTAATTATGTTTGTGAGAGAAACAGGTAAATGGAACATGAGGTAGTTACATCTACATGGAAAATGCAGTCTTGGCCACCCAAGATCGTGAGATGTTCTGACCCCACAGGACTGAACCATGGTTGGTCCTGAGGCTAAGAATCGGCACAGCCATTCTGCTCAGTCCCTTGGTGAGTGACATACAAACCTAGTGAAAAAATGCCCAGATGTGTAGAGAAGGATTAATTTAGGATTCTCTTTTCAGTAAACACTGAGAGAGAAATTAAAGCTTAATCTAAAACACTAGAAAAAGTGTTTCTATAAAACTGTCAACAGCCACGAGATAAAAGCACTGATGGAATGAAAACAGACAACAAAAGCAAAGAGCAGGGGGAGTGACTGGATAGCATCCTTCTAAGGTCAGCTAGGTTCCATGGAACCACTCTGAAAAGCACAGTGTGCTCTGCTGGTCACCCCCACAGTAAGAAATCTCCAATGCAAAAGCATATGACATGCAAGTGCCAGAAGACAAGCATTAAGCCCATTCTCTAAGTCAACCAGGATGCCCAAGTCCCCACATCCCTGCATAATTCCAAAAAATGGTTAGAGGAAGCTAGTCCCTAAGTGAAAGTGTATGAGGAACAACTGAAGGTACTTATTTTGTCTAGAGAAGAAAAAGTCAAAATGTTACTAAGTTGTACTTTTTGAGAATGAAAGGGAATTTCTCAGTATCATGCCTGTAGAAAACTGAGAAAGTAGAATCAATGAAGCTCCTTACAGTTATAAAATCCTTTTACTTGTGGATGGATGAGTCTGTCAAAATGCTATGAAAACGAAAGTCTTGTACAAATCCAAGGGAGTCTCAAGATCTCTGCACTGCAGCAAATGTAGATTCCACAGCACAGATGCTCAGAGAAAAAAAAATGACAGTTGGCCTAAGGTTTTCAGCGAGTCCTGCTTATTCTTTATTTCGCTTGTCTTAGAATGTGGGGGCCATTTGTTTCGTGTAATGTGAACCCACTGCATTTAGCTGTAGGTTATTAATGGTTGTGAACGCTAAGTTTGTGGTTGAGAGAAATGCAAGTGGCAAGTTTCAAAAACTTTGCTGTCATGTTTTTGCCACTTGATATTAAATATAATTATGCATTTTTTTATTAGGATACTCCAGTCTTAACAAAGAACACCTATCATTCATTGCAATGAGATTGCACGACTTGCTTCTCAGTCACTTAGTAGAGGGTGGCTGCCTGGGTTAGCCGTGTTCTAAGATGTGTGGACTGTCTATGAAAAGTATCTGGTTCTTCAGCATACGGGTTTGTGAAATAATTCTGTTAAAAACCAAAAGGTAGTAATACACTCCAAGCCAATTTGTATAAAACGTACACTTGTTTTACAGCATGCATCATATAGGCAGTCTGGGTCCTTTTCACCTTTCCTGGAAAAGGGGAGGAGAGGGTTATTACATCCTTAGCATTCAATTTTCTGGTTTCCTTCTTCTCTTGATTAGTCTTCTCAGGAAAAAAATTCTTCCACGTCCTTCTGCTTTGTGAGATTAAAAAGAATTGAGGGGTGTTTGGATGGCTCAATCAGTTAAGCATCTTCAGCTCAGGTTATGAACTCAGGGCCCTAGGATCAGGGTTGAGCCCCACGTTGGGCTCCCTGCTCAGTGGGGAGTTTGCTGCTTCCTCTGCCTACCCCCAACCCCACCCATGCTCTTTCTCAAATAAAATATTTAAAACATTTAATCCTCATGATGTCTAAGAACAAGCAGCCACTCAAATATCCGAATCCAAGAAAAGGCAAAATTTAAGCTTTCAAGTAAAATTGGATATAAATCAGAAGCCTCCGTTTCAAATGCCAATTTCTATATTCCCACAATTTCCATAAGGTCTCTACTTCTCTGTACTCTTGCAGAACCACACAGAGGATAACGGAAACATCCCATTAATTAGTTACATTTACATAACCCAGTTGTATTGTGCTATCTCCCAGTATTTAAAATGCAAAGCATTCCTGGCCTGGCAATCTTCAACTACTGATCCAATGGGAAAACATATACCAAATTCAAAATGGCTGTACCCATTGATTAACTTGGAATTAAGAGAACTGGTCCTCAAGAATCATTTACTGTGGAGACACAAAGGGCTCCTAATACCAACTCTGTCAGTAAATGGACAGGTCAAGGCAGCAATAAATGCCACGTGGGCACAAAATATAGTAAGTGCTACAAGAGGTACAGTTTGGGAAGGCCTCATAACCTTGACCCCTGACCTGATCCTTCAAGGTTTAAACTTAAGTAGAGGAAATGGGACAGATGAAAGTACACTAGTGGGGACGTGCAAGATTAAGGGAAGTGAACAGGCCAATTTAGTTGAAGAGTATTGTCAGAAAGTAAGAAACCGTCTTGAAGATGTGGGCGAGAGGCTACAGAATATTGTAAGTAAGCCCAGTCAGCAATGGGGAGATGATAAAGATCTCCAAACGGGAGCGTATGGGTGAGATCTTCTAATCCCAATCCTAGCTGCACTGGGCCAGGTAAGAGTTAAGAAACTGGAGGCAGGAGAACCACTTAGAGCAGTGTGGAAAAGGCACTGAGCTGCCAGGAAGTGATGGGTGGGCTCACGGGTGGGAGTGTTTCCCTCAAAAATCTCTGGAAAGCACTTCCATGGTGAAAATACTATAGTATTTGTTCTCTGTGCTAAGAGGATCCATAAACATTTTTGGAATGTAGTTGGGATCAGAGGAAGGATGTATTCCTGCCCTAAGGGGTGAAAAAGGAGGCTAAAAGAAGGGGACTGGTAAAGAGAGAGAGGCTAGAACGAAGTGTGCCTTGGTCAATTTTAGGCTTAAAACAAATATGCTAATGTGCAAACACTGGAGTAAGTCCTTTGAAGAATTTGTTATACTCCATCATAAAATGTACATTTATTTTTTTAAAATATTTTATTCATTTATTCACGAGAGACACAGAGAGAGGCAGAGACACAGGCAGAGGGAGAAGCAGGCTCCACGCAGGGAGCCCGACATGGGACTCAATCCCGGGTCTCCAGGATCACGCCCTGGGCCGAAGGCAGGCGCCCAACCGCTGAGCCACCCAGGCATCCCTGTACATTCTTTAGATAGCTGGACATACAACAGAAATATAAACACACCTGATCTTTAGGTCAACCTTTGATAATTTTGTAATTTTTGCAAAGCAACTAACCTTTTGACATTAAAAGGCAGTCACTGAAATACCAAATTCTGGTCCACTGAGATGTCCCTAGACCAATTTAGACAAATAACAGCAAACTTACCGTTTCATTCACTGATACTGTTGAGAAAAATGCATCAAAACCATTCATTCAAAAACATGGCCCACTGTTTTAGGACAATGAAATTCCTAGTGAGAAGGGGTTGGCTCAGCTAATTTCACATTAATGTCCTCAGTGCTCCTATGAGGCCGGTTTAACATAATATAATTATCTTCATTTAACAACGAAGGGAAATAAAAGCAAAGAACTCTCCTAGGGTTACAGGGTAAATGTAGGGAGATGCCTGAATTGGACTTCAACTGTGCTGATTAGTAAGAAGGAATGGTCCACCTAGGAAACAAGGTGCCATGGTGTTAAAAATGCAAAGGCACTGAATATAGAATTGATGAATCACTATATTCTACATCTGAAACTAATATAACATTGTATGTTAACTCTACTGGAGTTTAAAAAATAAAAAAATGCAAGCGCTTTCATAATCTTTCTAAATAACTAGGCAAGTCAAACTATTATAATGTAACACAGTTCTATTTTTGAACCTATAATATAGGAATCTGTAGTTGCAAAGACAATGCATTACCGATCATTTTTGTATGACACTCCCTTAAAAAAACCAACCAAAACATACTGTTTTTTTTCCC